AGAACGATCGTTTTTTCCCTTCCATTTCAACATGGTGATGCGTTCCATTTTATGTAGTGATTTGATTACTTCTTTTCAAGTTCTCTTTTAAGAACCTCCTTCAGTGCATCTCTCAGGGTCTTGTGGAGTGTAATCAGATTAGTATCCATTAGTATCAAGAACGACCAGTTGTTCGAACAAAGGTATCGAGGTGTAAAAGTTATCTGTTCAAATGCATCTTTCCGCCGCATGTTCTGTCCGCAGCTTCGACGTAATGTCTTCGCCTACAGATACCTGCTGGCTGATATGCTTACCTGCATACATGATGAAGCAGCCACCTAGTATGCAGAACTTGAAGAGCTCAATCCTTTATCTGTGCCTCTTTCCTTTCACATATTGTCGAAACAACACTCGGCTTCTGAATGGAAATACGCTGTCGTCAATACAAACGTACCTGTCGGGAGTGGAAACACCAGAGAAAGATTGGTCCAGGGGCTCATGACACCGGAAATCTTGTAAAGTCTTTGCTTTATCCGCAGTTCCGTTGTCCGCGAAGTGTAGCCTATTCGAAATATTTACAAAAATCGTGCTCTTGAAATGTACTGAGCACAGATAGACTTGCTGTAAACGGCCCTTGTTGACCAGTATTCTTTCAAGTGCGCTCTTCGTTCGATTCCCATGAAGGAAACAAAGGGCCAGAAACTTCCAAAATTTCGCTTCGCTAGCAGGCTTGCTTGCATTGCTGTCAGCTTTTCCATATCTGTTTGTCGAATCAAGTCAGCAACTTCTCTGTTCACGAAGCAACGGAAAAACTTTGCAGGCTTCTCCAAGTGAAGTAGAGAATCATCTACAGCGCCATGATGGTCAGTGAATGGAATCGTGTCGTGGAGGAGATTTGTACTGTTCCATGCATTAAATTGCTATTCTTCTTCTTCATGCTCACTTTCTTCTTTATCTTCGAATTCTCGTCTTCCCCCTCTGCAGTCAGCTGACACATCAGCTTGGTCACCGCCTTCGAAAACTTCATCTTAGGGTTCATACTTTGCCGCGAAACCCACACACCGTCCGCC